CACTCCACTGAACTGAGATCATCATCATCATCATTATTGTCACCTCCCATGACTACAATTATATTTCCAGTAATAACTGCACAACATTCAGATCTCTTCTCCAACATGGATGGTAAGGCTGTGATCTTGCTCGTCTTGCAGTCATACATGAAAACATCATTCAAAACTTCATAATCCTTATCATGACCTCCAAGTACAACTACTTGATCTCTCCAGCGAACTGTGGCCATTGCTGCCATGGGATGTGGTAATGATGGCAGCTCCTTACATTTATTCTTCTTTGGATCAAACTCCAACACATTGTCTGAAACATCATTGTCATCTTGTCCTCCCAAGATCAAGACTTTATCTTCAAACGCCTCAGCGCCATGACAATTTCGTGGCTGGGGCATTTGGCACAACTCTTTCAGTGTGCAAGGTGAGGTAAGTTGCAATTCACTAATCACGTTAGACTTTTTACGCTCATCATGATTATATCCACCAATGTGAATGACACGCTGTTGGTGAACGACAGTTTGATGATCATAACTTTCATAAGGAAGTTCGTCAGAAAATTCCATCCATTTCAAAGGTAATTCATTGAGATCCAAGGTTTCTATTGTCTTAGTACCCGTTCCCCCAACAACAAATAGCTGATCATTATAAATAAATGATGAAGCTCCAAAATGTCTTTTATTCATTTGCGAAATTTCATACCAACCGTTTTTCTCCCAGGAAAATATTTCTGCAGTTTCCAACGTGTTGCCATTATTACCACCTGCAATCAAAATATCTTCCTTAGGTGTGTTGAACATTCCCTCGGTCGTAGATGGCAGTTTGCTGAGCAGTTCAAGCATATTAAACTTCTCTAACATTTGACTGATCATGACTTTGACTTCATCCACGTCTTTGTTCACTTTGGAAAGATTTTCTTTCAAAATTCCCATTTCTTTGTGTTGCTCTTGTTTCATTTCATCATGGCGGTTCTTTATTGCTTCTACTATTTCATCATGGCGGTTCTTCGTTGCTTCATTGATCCTCTTATTCATTCCCACTAAACTGCCTTCTAATTTCCCGACAATCTTTTTCATTTCAGCATGGTTGTTTTCCATCTTTTTCTCCACAGTTTGCACTTTCCCGTCCAGTTCCATCAATGTTTCTTCCAATGTTCCCACAACTTTTCGTGTCTGTCCACAATCATGGCATTTCACTTTCCTATATCCACATACTTCAGTCTCGTGATGGACCTGGTCTTGCTTGTTGATCTCCATGCCACAATTTTCATTTGAACAAAACACAGGAGCAAACTCGCAATTGGCAACATGAGTTTTGAGACCTTCAACACAGGTAAACTCAGGACATCCTCGACTGGCATAATCACAATTAATCTTCAGTTTAGACAAATAATTATTTACCACACGCGGTCGCCGAAGCGTATCGACGCTCAAATGTTCATTACATTCAGGGCAAGTTTGAGAATTTACTTTCAGATGTTTACTGATGCAGGCAAGACAATAGACGTGGCCATTATTTCTACACATCCTTGGTTCTTTAAGAACATTGTAGCAGATCGAGCAATGAAAATTTTCGTCGACATCTTTCTCAAACCTGCTATGTTCGTAGCCATATTTCTCTTCCGTCGGGCAACAAGCCATTATTTACAGCTGACAAAACTTCGCTCTGCTTTCTATTGTAGAAATAGATATACTAATTCATGATCTCTCTTAGTAAGGTTTATCTTACATTGTGAAGCAAATATATCGAAACCAAGAGACAGACGAGGTTTTGAAACACTTCCGCCTTCACTTTGGTTTGATTTTGGTATTTTGCAATAACAAAACCTTGATTGTGCAACAAATACTTGGAAATACGAATCGCCTGATCAAAGGTCATGACATCACTTTATACATTCAGCAAATATATGCTGGTAATATTTCCCGATCAAATATTATTCAATATTTCCCAATTTTTTGGAGTCAAATATGAAAAGTACTACTTTATGTGCGAGAAACGTGAAATTGCTAGCCAAATATCATTCGTGGCTTTATTGAAAAAACAATGTTTTGAATATTATAGCCAACATGAATCACAAACTATCTATAGTATTCGCGGCTGCGAAACTCGATCGACGTCGTCGAGTGGTCGAGGTCTGGTGTAGGTATTTCACAATAAGCTGTCGTGGTTTGTGTCTGAACTACCTGAAAAAGATATCTCAAACGTGGTGGTCTAGTGTAGGTAGTATTCTACTATATAAAGCTGTCGTGATTTGTGTCTGAATTACCTGAAAAAGATATATCAAACGTGATAGTCCAGTGTAGGTAGTATTCTACAATAAGCTGTCGTGGTTTGTGTCTGAACTACCTGAAAAAGATATCTCAAACGTGGTGGTCCAGTGTAGGTAGTATTCTACAATAAGCTGGCCTGGTTTGTGCCTGAACTACCTGAAAAAGATATCTCAAACGTGGTGGTCCAGTGTAGGTAGTATTCTACAATAAGCTGGCGTGGTTTGTGCCTGAACTACCTGAAAAAGATATCTCAAACGTGGTGGTCCAGTATAGGTAGTTATCTGTAATAAGTGTGTTGGTAATATTCTACAATAAGCTGGCGTGGTTTGTGCCTGAACTATACCTGAAAAAGATATCTCAAACGTGATATAGTCCAGTGTAGGTAGGTAATATTCTACAATAAGTTGTCGTGCGGTTGGTTCTTAAACATATTCATAAAAAATACTATCAGCTAGGCACACATCTTATGCTGGTAACCCACTGGGTAAGCTGCTATAGGCATAGCTCAGTAAGGATGGGTCTCCCTACCGGTATTTATCTTTCTGCAGTGGCTTACTATTCAAAGTTCTAAGAACTGACAATTCTCAGTCTGAGATGTGTTAATCCTCCAATATATGAATGCTTACTTCTGAAACACCAAAGTATGTGGTATTATATAGGTGTTAATATAACTTAGCATGACTCCTGTTAAATGAAAAGATCGATGGGGTAGAACTTTTCCAGCGTAGATTAGGCTATAAATATATTTTCTGAACTATTATATATAGCTTAAAGTTTCTATGATCCTTTATGTTTATCCACAAAGAACAATTTTAAAGACTTTGTACTCTAATTAACATGAAGAGCGGCACAAGAAATAAAATCAAAGAAATATATGAGGTTTTGAAAAATTTTTAACGGCGATAATAATTTTGGGAACATTTTTTGAATAAGTCGGGCAAAATGCAAAAAGGTCGGGTAAATTTCTTTCTCCCCCCCCCCCCCCCCATTTTTTCCCCGTATATGCCTATGTGTATTTTATTTGTATTGTATTTTGTCTTCAGGTTGCGATGCAGTTGTTGGAAAAAGATATTCACGATAAACAGGATACGTTGATATCATTGAGAAGACAGTTACAGGATATCAAGACTATCAATTTGGACTTACATACAAAATGGCAGGTAGTTGTAAAGGCTATTATACAGAATCATAATCAGAGATACATCTGTAGAAGTTGACACGGTCAACAAGTTTTCCTTGACAAGTTTACCTTCTCGTGTGTACGGTCAAAACGTTTAAAGTTTTCCTTGACAAGTTTCCTTTCTCGTGTGTACAATCAACAACTGAGTTTTCCTGGACAACTTTCTTTGACAAGTTTAAGCTCCACAGAGACGAGCAATTTTTCCTTGACAAGTTTTATTTGCTCGTGTGTATGGCAAAAAATTGACAAGTTATCCTGGACAAGGAGCCCGGTTCATGCCAGCTTTTGAACCAGGAAAACTGTTCGTGTATACGGCCGACCAGGAAAAATTGACAAGGAAATGCTTATTGCTTTGATTCGAAGATGCAGTATTAAAGTTTGATTCGTCTTCAGGCCTATATAATAGATATACATGAAGTATTGGAACGTGTCGGCAACATGCAGGCTCGCAAAACTGGTCGCGGAAAAATTGATAAAAAACAATTGTTGTTTGTCGTGCACACGAGAAAATAAACTTGACAAGAAACTTGCATGTCAAGGAAAAATTGCTCGTGTTTGCGAGGCTTTACTTTCTTTTGTGTTTTTAAAGTGCCCCCATGGATAATAAAATAAAATTTATTTTATTATCCATGGTGCCCCTAACCTTAAATATATTTATCATATCATTCTTAAGAACTTCTGAAATGATATAATAACTTAATTTGTAGATTTTCGTTTGCTCACTTTGTTTCTGAGATATTTCAGTTCGTTTGGTATGCAAATATCCGGAATTTACGTCACAAATGCATAATGATTTAAAGTAAAAGCTTGTATGTCGTATTTACTATCGAGTTTAATTCATTAAAATGAAGTTTGGAGTTGTATAGGAGGATTAAATATACCTATGTAAAACACCATTTAGCCTATTTCATAATAATTATGCATGAGTCAATATTAACCCCCCACCCCGGGGAAAGGTGGGGATTTGTTTTGGCCAACTTCCTAAAATAGGCAAAAGCCCCCATACCAGGGAACCAATTTCTCATCAAAACTCATTTCAATTTTAATAGCAGTATTAAAAGAGTTTATTAATTTTATTTAGCTGAGGGGGAGGGGAGGTTCAAGAGGGATGCAAATTCCATATCAGATTATAGTATTATACTGGATCCATCCCTATCCACACATGTTCTTTCATATTTAATATATTAAATATATAAAACACAATTGAATTGTACACTTTAATATCAAAATTTATACACATAGAATGTTTTATTAAATAATATAAAGTTGAAGGTGCAACTAGGTACACTGTGAATTCCTTTTTGGCTTTTTCATAAAAATATTTTAGATAGTTTATTTAAATTTACTTTCACATCATGCATATATTTATAATAAAATCATAAATGCAAATATTGAAATTTCTTTAATTTAAATTAATATATGAATATTTATATAATATATTAAACTTTTTCTGCACTGTGAAATAAAAATGAATGTATTGAAAAAATTCATTAATAAATCAGGAAATTTAATAAAACAACTCGCCGTATTTTATTAAATAAAGTTTCTTCAATAAAGTTTCTTCTTAAAACCCGTTTCGTCTTTTCCATTTGTTGCCAGGTGTTGCCTCGATTTGGTTTTGTTGTGTATAACCGCTGACCATATGCATTGCAGACGGGAAAAAATCCGTTCAAATTCCCCTACCCCTGGGGGCAAATGACATGCAAAACGCTTCAAATGCCCCAGGGTCATGGGCCAAAAAATTAATATAATCCCCTGCTAATCCCCATGGTAACCCTACCTTTCCCCGGGGTGGGGGTTAATATTGACTTATGCATTAACTGTACCTTACATTCTTCGATCAGTCATTATTCATATGTGACGTAAGTTGCGGACATTTGCATATGAATAAAACTGAAATAACTCAGAGACAAAGTGAGCAAACGAAAATCTTCAAAATAAGTAATTATAATTCATTTCAAAGTTTCTTAAGAATGAGATGATAAAATAGTTGGGGTTAGGTGCACTTTAAACCTTTATCTCTTAAATGTTCTTAAACATCTATCTCACGTCAAGGCCACCTTAATTTGTTTGCCAAAACCATAGAAGTATTTCTCGTACACTTATCAAGTTT